ATGAATTTAGACAACGTTTTATCCCGTCCTATTTTTGGATACGTCCAAATATGCAAAAGGTATTGGAACTGTTAAATACAGATAAAGTAAAATTAACTCGTAATCTTGCAAATTTTGTATCTAGTGCTTTTCAGATTAGGAGGGAAATTACATATAGTTCTAAAGCAGACTTAAATAGTTATGTAGCTTTATAGTTATTTATAGTTAGTATACAGATATTGTGTATGTGTCTTGATATGTGTATGTTTCTTGATTTGTGTATGTTTCTTGATATGTGTATGTTTCTTGATATGTGAATGATTCTTGATTTGTGTATGTTTCTTGATTTGTGTATGTTTCTTGATATGTGTATGTTTCTTGATATGTGTATGTTTCTTGATATGTGTATGTTTCTTGATATGTGAATGATTCTTGATTTGTGTATGTTTCTTTATATGTAAAACAGGTACAATTGATAAAATATAAATGTATTTAAGATACACTAAGAATTTAAAATGAGTTGACTTTGTGTTTTCCTATTGACAAGGTCAACTTTATCATACATGTAAGGTATTGTATCTTACTTATACACAATCATTCTTTTTGCTTTATATATTGATTGTACCTGGATTGATATTAAATGTGTAAATAAACTTATATTTCGGTGTGAATGTAATAGTAATATGTTGATCTTGTGTTTCGTTTCGACAAGATCAAGATAATTATTATTATAGTCAAGAATCACTCACTTATTTTTGATGAAATATCTTTGAGAGTTAGAGTTATGTATACAGTATAGGGGCAGTTGCGAGTATTCATAGTAGATATTTTTTCACGTAATGGGTTGAGTTGGTATGCTATTATATTGCATGTCATTATCAGATGCCTAAATGTGCTTCGGTTTTCATTTTGTTTCGATGTGAAATTTCACATGGGTATATGTTACATTTTCCTCGGAATTAACATTATATGCGGTACAACATGATATAATTTTAATTAACAGAAGCGTATATATCTTGTTAAAAAATTTCTCAGTGTAAAATTAAAGTTATACCCAAGTGGAATTCAGTAAGAATATCTGATGTCATATACTAATTATGAAGACATTTAATTATTTGTAAACCTTCTCCGCTGTTTAAATTGTTTTGTACATTTATGCTATATACTGTCTTGCCGTATATAATGCATTGTATATCCTCATGGGCTATATAACCTTATGGAATATTGAAAATAAACTTATCAAACTTATCAAACTTACTATGTACTCTCAACAGGTAAAACGACTATACCTGTATAAGTCCCCGTAGCGCAGTGGATAGCGCGCTGGACTTCTAATCCAGAGGTCGTGGGTTCGAATCCCACCGGGGATGATTTTTTTAAAATGTTGATGTACATTTTTTATTACCATGTCAATATCAAATTCATCGATTTTGATGACCTTTTATTTAAAAATATCTATTCAGTGTAAGTTATTTTACTTGTCATTTTGTTTAAACATATGATTACCTGATGGACAAAATTTAATGTTCCGTGTATGGTCTGTTTTGTGCCCACCTTGTTGTAGGGTTTCATGTTTAGAATGTTTATCTTTTTTTCTTTCTTTTTTCTTTCAACATGATGATATTGTGATGTTTTTGGGAAGTTAAGATAGCCGTTGTTCGAACCTAGACGGAAAACTCCGACCTGTGTGTACCTTGATAGAATAATTTCAGATAAACTATACAAAGAGCTTGTTTTAAGAACAAAAATAATTTATTTTATAAAGTAATCCAAGAATGTGTTGTAAGATGAAGTAGAATCTATAAATAAATTATCAATAAAATGATAATTGCTAGTTATTGTTAGTTAAAGTAAACGTTAGTAAATGTTAGTAAATGTTAGTTACATTCGTTCCATCATGAACTCCAATTAAGAAAATACTAAGTGATGAAAATAAGCTCAGCTCTTGTAAGTTGTATCCAGTTGAATGTAGTATCAACTAGTTGTAGATCTATAATGTTTAACTGAGGATTCCTATTAATTAACCAAGTAAGTAAAATGATTAGACTCAAATGATCTATCCAGTAAGCTCAAGGATAATGCCGTACCGGCAATATATTAAATTCCCGGCGTTAGGAACTTGTAAATTATTGGGCGCCTAAGCACAGCTAACGCTCTCATCCACTCAGATTGCGGAACGTCCATTTGGCGCCAAAAGCCCTCCATATCGACCAATGGCTTGCCGTTTGACTCCTACATTGAACAGAAATAGATCCGAACAGGCCACGACGATTTCCAATAAAATCTCCATACCTGGTTGTCTAAGTGACCGATATTATTTACCTAATTTAGTACTTTTAACCTAAACATTCTGTTCCAGAATTGATTAAGATTTTAGACAAAACCAAGCATGCACTGTGACGTCACTATTGACACATTAAGTTTGCATTTCCTAATAGAAATAAAGAGTGACCGTGCATGTCATCAAATATTTGTTAAAGGTATATTAATTGTCTCTGAAATATATAGTTTGTATACATGCATTTATTGCATCATATCCATTAATTATTAATATGATAATACGAAATGTCATTAGTTTTCACGATCTGTCAAATTCTGCCAGTGTTCTGTGCATAACCTGAGTATCATTTAACCAGTAAAAAACTTATCCATGTTATGGTTTTAAGTGTTTTAAGCATTTATAATTTATAGTGAGTGTTATTTGTGTAAGAAAGAGTTCTATAGCTGTAAACAAAAAAAAGGGGGGGGGGTATTCATATTACAATATTATAATAATAAAGATGCTCTTATAAAAACGTTTGCTATAATTTTCTGTAATTCTGTAATTAACTGTAACCAGCAAAAACTAACAACACTATTTTACATGTAAGATGTAAATTGGCCAGAAATTAAGGTCGACATAATTGGTGGGTGGACCCTTTTTAAACTTAGACTGTACCGAAGATCAGTGGATATCGCACTGGACTTTTAATCCAGAGGTCGAGGGTTAGAATCCCACCGGGAATTTGCTTATTTTACTACTTTTGATGTAAACATATAAAATGAAAACCTATATTCCTTACATAGACTATAAGTAAGAACTTGATTGGCAATATTTTGTAAATCAAAGGGTAAAATGGAATTATCAGAAAATTAATGTAAAATATGAATCACCAAACACTTTATTTAATTATTTAATTCAATACAAATGCGTTGTTTTTAATGTTTACTGTTTTATTGATTACTCTACGATTACAACCAGGCAATATAAGATGGTTTCATTTAGAAAAATAAATTCCTGTATATCGTCCTGTGGTTTAAAACTGATGGTATGAACAGGTAATTTTATTGACTGTGAATTGTGATACCTTTACTTTACAAACAGTATGAAATTCGCTGTGAAAATGGTCGAAATAGTATAAGGCAAATCACTGTAATCTTTTGTTGTTCCACGATAAGTTTGATAATTTATAAAATGTTGCGTTTTCGTGACAGACGGTCATTAAAAAGTCTCAGAGAGGTATACATACCAATTTGAAGCACATTGAAGATACTGCTTTTCGCCCGGCGCAACAGTATCATTATCATCATCATTATCATCATCGATATATATATATAAGCAGTCCCCGTAGCGCAGTGGATAGCGCGCTGGACTTCTAATCCAGAGGTCGTGGGTTCGAATCCCACCGGGGATGTTTTTTTATTGGTTGTTACTAATAGTCTAGACTTGATGAATGGTGATATTGATTGGTAGCTATGTCCCAATAAAAATGAATTATAAACCGACCTAAATCTATCGTGGCCACAAAATGCGAACATTTGAAAACACAAAGATACAACGAAGACAAACACTGTTGCGTCGGGGAGAAAAGCAGTTTGTAGATGATGATAATGATGCTGGTGCTGCTGCTGATGATGATGATGGACAAAGACAACATTGTTTTACACAGAAGTTTACATATTTAATTTTACTTAGCATTGATAATTTTACTCCAGAAACACAAAACTCTTGCTTTCACTTGTAGGACTAATGGAAATAAGCCTTACTCACCATAAACCATACAATTAGGTATTGAAGCTTTTAAATTCAAAAATAAACTTACGAAAATACAACTGAAATTTCTCTAAAATTTGAACATGTACGAATCCCCAAACTTCACTTCCATAAAGAAAGATAGTAAAACCATTGAGTTGAATAAATGTAGTTGCAACGAAATGGGTGGACATAATTTACGGGACTTTTGGATAACAGATAACATTGCTCTTCTAGCATTATCAAAAAAGAATATTTTTTGATTTCAAAAATTTACAATTATAACTAAAAAGTACTTCAAGGTAAGTAAAGTTATCTACTAAATCAAGCTTTTTACCATTGTACACAAAATCATAATCATCTTTAGGTTTTGACTTACTTAAAACCTATATTTTATTCTTAGCTTCATTTACAACAAGATTCCATATATAACAGTAATCGCTCATAGCATTTAAGGCATTTTGCAAATCAGTTTTGCTTTCTGCTTAAAGTATTGTATCATCAGCATATAACAAAGAAACAATTTAACATAAACATCAATGACATCGTCACTAAGACATTCACGAGTTGCGTTAGAGATATTGACAAGTCCTGAGTATTTATAGATACAAATTCTGACAAATCGCTCAAAAAGATAGAAAACAAAATTGGTGAAAGATTTTCACCTTGACTTACACCGGTAAAACTAGTAAAGAAACTAGTCAACTCACAGTTTACTTTAACGCAAGATTTAGCCTTACTGTACATATTGTGGATTATACCAATGCACTTACCATCAATATTATGTGACAAAAGTTTGTGTCATAAATTAAATCGATTAACAGAATCAAATGCCTTCCTATAGTCAACAAATGCACAGTAAAGCTTGAATAATAATCAATTAAAATATATGTTCAGTGGTACCATATTGTGATCTGAACCTAGCTTGTTCTTCGTGAAGTATCAGTAAGAACTAACAATATAACATTTGTTTAAGTAGACGGAAAGTACAAGTATTAAAGTTGAACTCTTTTACACTAGACACTTTATACACTACACATGTAATCAAAACATTAAAGATACACTATGCTCATATTTGATTAGAAATATAGATAATTGTTTGACAGTTTGTTTGTAAATATAAAATACAAATGTTTTGACTTCACACAAGGTAGAAGTCATGTTGAAAATTCTACACACTAAAATTTACATTTCTGTGATTTCTTTTTTTATTATTCAAGGATAAGCATTGTATATTATATAACAACAACAAACAACAACAAAATCAATTCACCACAACTGATCAATATGTGAAATGTAAAACAAATGTCAGTCAGGTTGTTTCTTAGGTTCGATAGTATACGTTAATATAAAATTAAACTTGTTTATAACGATACAACTCTACATTCTGAACAAATCTCTCACACTTGGTGTCACGTGTCCTATAGGTGTCTTTGATCGACCTGTAAATTATGTGAGAAGAGAAAAAAAAACTCTGAAATAAGTTTTCTAAAATAAAATAATATTATAAATACTGAAAGTGAGAAAACAACAAAAAATAAATGGTTTCAAAAAGAAAATCTTAGAAATTGTTTACTTGATAAACTGTTCAAAAGAGACAATTGTCACGCGCTGGCATATGATAATACACCATCACAAAAGATAAGCTTTGCGGCATGGCCTAGTGGTTAACGCGTCGGACAATTATCTCATGCTGCATATGCTCAAACCCCATCAGGGAGAAGCCGTTGTTTCATTAAACTTTACATTTATTGCTCAATACTGGTTGGTTCCGGGAAAGGATCAAATAGTGTGTTTATTAGCTTATTACACAATCGAAGTCTAAATTAAATTCTATAAAAACTAAAACGAAAATTCTTCAGTACATGTACAAGTAATTTAGTTATTATTTTATGCTTTATATAACATAACCTCTTCATGTTCTTAAAAATAAATGACTGCTCTTACTTTATAAAAAAACCATTTAATTCAGACAAATTCTAACAAAAAATGAGATGTTTTGTTCTTTAAAAACAAGGAATCAAAGGTCCAACAGACAAGAGACTGAAACACTCACGCGTGGTCATTTCAATTCAAATCACATACATGTATCAATAAAATAATAATAATAACAATAATAATAATAATAATAATAATAATAATAATAACAATAATAATAATAATAATAATAAGAAGAAGAATAATAATTATAAGAAGAAGAAGAATAAAATAATAATAACAAGATATGTTTGTAAAACATGTATGCCCTCTATCGGCAGCCAATTTGTCATGTGATCAGGTTATTATGCATGACTTCTGACCCAGTGAACAAGCAATTAATTAGAGGTTAATACTTGGTTGCTGCTCGCCATTATGCGATAATGGCCCGAAGATGTGCATAATGGCCTGAGGGCCGCAGGCCCGAAGGACATTATGAACTCAAGGGCCATTATCGCATAATGGCGAGCAGCAACCAAGTATTAACGTCTTTAATACCTATGTCCGAAATACGGCGTTTAGACATCGCCGCTAATCTTTGTTGTCGCCCTTTCTAAGAAAAGGACAGTTGTCAATGTAAACAGATATCTGTCAAACTGTTACACAAAACAACACAACATAAAATAAGAAAATGTTGTTTTATTGTTGTTTTATCGATAATACAGAATACTACTCTTCACATTTTTGTAAGAATTACATTCACATCTAGTGCCAGTTATTTTTATGAAGTTTTGTGCCTTCAAGAACGGTTTCTGAGACTGAAATACGAAAGATCCGACCTTTTCGTACAGTCAATCTAAAATCATTTTGGAATTTCTGAAGGTCGTGTATTGTCTTAAGTTTATAAATCTTTAATGATAAGCTTTGCTGATTGTGCTTAATTATGTCGTTTAAACTTTAAAAAAATTGTGTGCAAGTGACTAGAGTTTATTCAACGTCAGTAGCCATATTGAAAGTCACTGGGAGTTGCTGACGTCATTCACTCGCCCATTATCGAAAAAAAATGCCGAGTAGCAAGGCGGCCAAAATTGCATAGTGACCTAGATCTTGCCATAATGGCCCTGAAATACCCTAGATTTTGTTACTATATATAGTAACATAGGTATTAATAAGGGTTATCTAGTATCTACTGATCATGACTAGTCACAAGGTAATAATTATTGTGACCCCATAGGTTTTGTGCAGCAATTAAAGTTATTAAAAATCTTACCAAATAATATATACATAAATTTTATGAATCACATAGGCCTCATTAATGACAGCCAAGTTGTTACATATTACATAAGACCTTCAAATGCGTATACCAAACAACATAAAAATATCAACCAAGGCAACTTGAGTTGTTGAGTTATTGGTCAGAAACGGTCATTAAGTACAAGGTCACTATGACATTGACCCCTTGACCCCAAAATCAATAGGGGTCATGTACTGGTCATGACCAATCATCATATCAAGTTTGACGTTCCTAGGCCTAAGGGTTCTTTAGTTATTGATCGGAAACTGTTTTTACCTACAAGGTCAATGTGACCTTGACCTTTGACCCCTTGACCCCAAAATAAATAGTGTTTTTCTGCTGGTCATGACCATTCATCATACCAAGTTTGAAGTTCTTAGGACTAAGGGTTCTTTAGTGATTGATCGGAGACCCTTTTAACCTACAAGGTCAATGTGACCTTGACCTTTGACCCCTTGACCCCAAAATCAATAGGGGTCATCTGCTGGTCATGACTAATCATGATACCAAGTTTGAAGTACCTAGACCTAAGAGTTCTTTATTTATTGATCAGAAACCGTTTTAACATACAAGGTCAATGTGACCTTGACCTTCCCTCTTGACCCCAATATCAATAGGGGTCATCTGATGGTCATGACCAATCATCATACCAAGTTTGAAGTACCTAGGCCTAAGCGTTCTTAAGTTATTGATCAGAAACCGTTTTTACCTAAAAGGTCAATGTGACCTTGACCTTTGACCCCTTGACCCCAAAATCAATAGGGGTCATCTGCTGGTCATGACCAATCGCCATACCAAGTTTGAAGTTCCTCGGCCTAAGGGTTCTTGAGTTATTGATCGGAAACTGTTTTTACATATAAGGTCAATGTGACCTTGACCTTTGACCCCTTGACCCCAAAATCAATAGGGGTCATCTACTGATCATGACCAATCACCATACCAAGTTTAATGTTCCTAGGCCTAAGGTTTCTTTAGTTATTGATCGGAAACCGTTTTTACCTACAAGGTCAATGTGACCTTGACCTTTCACCCCTTGACCCAAAATCAATAGGGGTCATCTGCTGGTCATGGCCAATCACCATATCAAGTTTGAAGTTCCTAGGCCTAAGCGTTCTTTAGTTATTGATCGGAAACTGTTTTATTATACAAGGTAAATGTGACCTTGACCTTTGACACATTGACCCCAAAATCAATAGGGGTCATTTACTGGTCATGACCAATCACCACACCAAGTTTGAAGTTCCTAGGCCTAAGGGTTCTTTAGTTATCACTCGGAAACCATTTGGTCTACGGACCGACGGACCGACAGACCGACGGACCGACAAGTGCAAAGCAATATACCCCCTCTTCTTCGAAGTGGGGGCATAATGATAATAGTAGGCCTAATGATAAATAGAAATAAAAATCATTTAAATTTTCACACGACGATTCGTCATATCATGGGATATTGTATATCAAAGCTACAAGAAATCAATATGTCATATAAATATTTTTAACATAACAGAACCCGTTTGTTTCTACAACAGAAAAAAACCTGAATAATAGCAATAAAGAAGACTTACAGTATGAAACATACTCATCTGGTGGTAGTGGTCTACTTGTAACTAAATAATTGTTCACGAGTGGATATGAAGAGCTACCTTAAAAATGAAATTATACAAACTAGTAGCAACATTCAAATGTAACATATCCAAATATATGTCAAATGTCAGCAAATAGATTACATTAAACACATACATAAAATTTGATTATCAATATCTACCTATTGAGTTCTAAGTGATTAAGTATGATATTTTATAATTCTAACACTCCTATTGGTTTTGTCACTATAGACAAAGAAGAAAAAACCGGTGTTTAACTGCCAATAAACACTGGTTCGGGACTACTTGTATACGTAGCTGTTATGTTTTCTCCCTCGATGATATAGTTTACTAACAATAAAAGAAAATTTTCATTTATGTTTTCAGTTCTTATAATGTTTTCTTTTCATACAATACCGAAATAATATCTCACATACACTAACGCCACAAATTTGATCCATATCATTTAATAGATATTTTGACAAAACGGCGCCAATCCGTAAGCAGTGTAAGGACGTCATCCTAAGTATACAACTCATTCATAAACGCTGACGTCATTTCAAACATACTTTTATATGATCTAAAACAATTTCATAAATATGTAATATCGTAGAATGTCACTCACACTGAGCATCAACATCCATATTTAATAAGTTCGTGATTTCTGTTCATGTATGATAAAACGTGCTATCAAGATAGCGATTTCACTTAAATAAGGAAAAAATACACGATAACGTACATAGATCCTGGTCGCGTTTTCCATGGAAAGAATAGCCAGCAAATATATCATAGTGACGCATCACTTCTGAAGGCTTAAAATACAAGACAAAAATACAAGAAGCATAGATTCTATATGTTCTTTAAAAATTAAAGTTTTACCACTGTAACATTTATACATTTCATAAAAAGCGTTTAACTTCTTTAGTAACTTCTTTAAAGTGAAACAATGTGTTTGGCCTAAACTAAAAAAGGGTAAATAAATGGGAGTAACGTTATACAAAAACTGAATATTGAGGAGTATTCATAGCTGTTAATTCCTGTGTACAGTATTCAATTTTAAAATCCAAAATATCATATGTGGTGTTCTTTGTATGGCCACCTTGCTTTAAGCGAGTCATAACGGTGCATCTAAATACACCGTTTGAATATCCTAGATCGATGCACTTTTATTTAATTCTATCAAGGCCCAGGTGGACTTTACATTATGACCTATAAAGGGTGTGGCAAGTAGATCTCACAAATGTACGACAATTAACAAATGTTGAAATTCCAATGTCAATGCATTATGATAAATGACCACTTTTGTTTTGTTACCACAGGACCTATCTAACCGTTTGACCTGAAAAAGAATTGATTGAGCCTGTTCATGGATAGTACCTTTAAGTGCAATCTACCGTCAACGCCCCCTAACACCGGCTTAAACAGAATTCAAAATTTAAACATGAAATTGTAAAATTTTGAATTTAGTAACGTCCGTAGAATTATTTGTAAGCCTACAAAGTTTGAAGTTCTTAGGTCAGTTCACTTTAATAAAGTGACCTGTAATATGTTTAGTTATTACATGTCGCAGTGACATGTTCCTTTGCCTTTGTCGTTTTGATCTGAGAAAGAATATGGGATAAATAATTCATACACGTGCATCTTAACGATTAAATGTCCCATGTCAATGCACTGTTGTTACACATTAAGTTTTATCTTCTGTAATTACATGTCCTATTTACCTAGACCTTTGATAATGGGTGTTCAGAATTCATCAAGATGCATCCACATATTACGATTCACTGTTTTGTACGAATTGATGTTAATGATAACGAAACCAAAAGATAAACCATCGCCGACGGTTGTGTCATGTTATCAGCTCCGCTTGGAGCTTATAACAAATAAGGAGATACCGCCCGATTATGTTTCAATAAGTGAGGAGACAAAAAAGAAACCAAACTGCGTGATAACAATCAACACTACACACGTGTATTGAATTGATATAATGTCCCAGCCGTTTCACTTTTTCTAAAGGAATTTTCATATACCAGGAACAATATTTTGATAAGAATTTCAAGAGAACAAATTCTAATACCTCTCCCGTTGTTCTGCTTCGGGATATTTCGTTATTTCCATTTTCTATGTCATTCTTCGCTTCTCCGTTTTGTAAACGTCTATAAACTGTCTGTTCTTGGCGACATTTTAATGCACTCCAATGACATGCTTTGTCATTTTCCAAATTACAATCTGTAAGCAGATGTCCAGTTTCGGAAACACCGTTATCGCATTTTGAACAAGACTCGTTTTCTACCTTATTTGAATCTTCTGCAACGTCGACAACTTTTTCTACTTTCTGAAATGGACAGTTTTGTACGTGCATCCAATATTCAGCTTTGTTCTTTCCTGTGAATATGTAATCACAGCCGTATTCCTCATTTAGAAATTTAACTGTGCTATGTTTGTGTAATATTTCCAACAACGCCATTAAATACGTTGTTCTTGTAAATTTGTAAACTTAAATTCTACATTATATCAAACGAGATAAGTTTGAGTATAGTTTTAAATCAAAATGTATGTACTGCAGAGACAGTATTTCGACACAGTATGGCTGTCGTAATTGTAAACATGACGGATAAAATATTTTGATAGCATGATAACATTATAAATGTAAGATATGCTGATGGCTTTCGTTTTAGTTTAGCCTTTTTGCAATTATTTAGGTGAAAATATTATTAATAGTACCTTTTCATTTGATCAATCGAGAGACACGAGTTATGGATAGATGCTAATTTCAATTACTTCATGTTTGTAACATAGCGAAACATTCGAATGGATGATGGTGATACAGCTCATACCTTCCAGTTGAGCAATCAAGCAAAGCCTCTACTTAATAAAATAAACAGCGTATATAAATATAATAAGCTTACAAATTTATAAACCAATGTACATGTATAATCTTTTGCTACGTACATTAGATAACGCAAAGGTAACACAAATAGATAAGATTATATTGATCTTGATATACATAATCATATTTACAGCACGTTTTATTATAACTCGAGGACGAGATATCGAACTGAAAACAAAATGGCGCGCTGAAAATTAAATTCACATTTGACAACTTACAATTACAGACATGGAGTCGTCTGTTTCTTTAGGATCGGACTTAGTTCAGAACTGCAACGTTTGCTCAGATGAAAATAAAAATGCTGACGGTTTTTGTGCTAATTGCCTGGAGTACATGTGTTCAAAATGTTTTACTTACCATTGTAAATTCAAACAAATGAGAAATCATGAATTTATCGGCAAGGATAAAATGCCATCACGGAACATATCTAGTGATACTGTTGACAGTAAATGCGAATGTGATAACGAAGATGACGTACAGTTTTACTGTGAAGGTCATGGAAAACTTCTGTGTGCAAATTGCATTACGACGCATCATAAGTGTTGTACATTCTTTAACTTATCTTATTCCTCAAAGGATATAGACAAATCTGAGGATTATTCTAAACTACTAAACGAATTAACTGCTGCTGAAAATGTATATGAAATGAACAAAGTTAATTCCCAGAAAAACAGAGAGATGTGTAATGAATCGTTTCAAAATGTGTTTGATAAATTGCAGTGTTTGAAAAAACATTTGCAAGACACACTGCATGCAGTTGAGGCATTAGAGGAGAAAACTAAAGACAAACAGAAACAACATGAACAGCAGTATCAAGATATTGAAAAACTGAATGGAACCGCAATAAATAATATAAGGTTAAAAAAATATGATTTAACTCTGCTGCAAGAAATGTCCCAATGCAGAAATCTTTTCATTGCTATGCATAGGACGAAGTCATTTCTAAACGATCTAAAGCTAAAAATGGAAAATATAAATAAAGATAATATTAAGAATACATACGGATTTGCTCCAAATGAACTGTTGGGAATCCGTGCTAACAAAATGGTGTTAATGTTGGTACGCTCAATACAACTGGAAACCTTCAGACAACGAAAAATTTTTCTAAACGTCTAGAGTACCCTGAATACGTTTTTCCAAAATGCATAGCAGTTACTGATGACACTATCATCATTGCTGATTATGTGCACAAGGTATTGGAGAAGGTTACTTATGACGGATCCGGACCAGAGAACCAAATTAAGCTTTCATCAGGTCCTTGGGATATAGCAAAGATCAGTGATACAAGTATTGTGGTAACTCAGCCCGAAGAGGGAAAACTTACATTTGTTAATTTTGACGAGGCGTCTATTCGTATCTATAAAGAAATAGATGTGAATTGCAGATGTGAAGGTATAGCGTATGATAGCGACAAAGTGTATATTGCTTCCACAAAGCCAGCTGCAATTGTAATATACGGTGTCAGTCAAGCTAAGGAGGTAAACAGAATAGAACTTGACGAAAATGGCCATTCCTTGTTTCAGCAACCTGCATATGTAAACATCTATCCCGAGAAAAAATTGATATGTGTCACTGACAGAAAATCAAACAAAGTTTTCATATTTAACTGTTCTGGCTCTTTATCAAGAGTTTTTGAATCAAATGATATGGAAATGCCGTTGCATGTTTCGTTTAGGAATGAAACCGTTGTTGTCCTCGGCTATCAGTCAAATACAGTGAACATTATTTCACTTGATGAAAGGAAAAAGTCTGCTTTTGATAACAGATTTCTAAGAAACCTTTGCATTGAGGAGTTATTTTCCGACTCCGCATTTGCTTCGAATGCATGCTGGAGGTACTGCATAGGAAGATATTTGACACTTATCTGCAAAAGTTCCACCTATTGATAAAATCATACGGCTTGATAGAAAATGCCAGTAAACATATCTGAGTTTTTCTTTACAAAGGACAAAAATTTCATTTGATTTGCATCGACAAGATTTATTTATTTTAAAGATTTATTAATAATTCAGTTGTGTTATCAAAACCATTAAATATGCAGTCTGTAGGGCAAGGTACAAACAAGTAAGAAGGACACACGTAAACTTGTCGTGAATGATAAATGTGTTTATATTTAGACGTACCTTGGTATATTCAGAACTACCAGTCCTTTGTTGTTTATTAGTGACTAAAAGGACGTGCTCATTTAGCAAACCGAAATTAAGCGGCAAATGTTAAATGTTTTATTGACAGGCTTTTAAGCTGTGATACTACAAGTTGTCAATTTTATGTATTTATAAAGCATTCCTGATGGCAGTGTAAATAAACTGATAGTTAAGTTTGAGATAACGGAGTTCTTGTTTATGATATGTTACGATTTATAGATAAATACGAATAGAATATTTGGGTTCAATTCAACGATTATTATTATCATTATGCAGTTCCACCTTTAAGAAGATTTCATCATACGTTCTCATTTATCGGAGGTCTATTTAAGACCAATATAAATGGAACTTTGAGAGTTTTGTTATTTTACGTTTTCTTCTGAAAACAAGGCAAATATACATTTTAGTGTAGTTTGATCATATGAAAGGAATTATCAAAATGAGAATGCGACGTAGCAGCTGCAACACAATACCGAGCCTGACAGGAAGATGATAATGTCATCTCTTTTCTCATATGATTATATAACCAGACTTATCACGTGAACATTATATAGTAAATGAAATTGACATTCTGTTACACGTACATACTTTGTATTATCATATGTTTTTATTTGTTATGTTTACAACCTTTTATTGTGTTTATCGTCCTTGAGTTTCAGCACGTTGTGCATTTGTTATCCTTTTTTAAAAATACAGGTCTGTTCTATACATACAATTGTTGTTATCTTTAATGTTGCATGTTGCTGACATATTCCAAATATACTAGACAATGATGATTTAATCCTTAAATATGAATTGGCTCTATTAAAGCAAGGAAGTAATCCTTTAGTAAATGCGCAAAGCTATCGTAACTTTGCAGTAAGAGCGTTACCTTTTTTTATTTAGTTTTTGTTAGTAGTCGTAAGTAAACACATATTTATAGCTTCACGGCACTCTTTTTTATGTTAAAAAGTCAAAGTACTGTCAACTGTTGCATCTAATAGGAAATTAGTTGTCAATGTACTCAAAAAATTATAAAAAATATTCACTTCAAATTAATAATCACAATAATTGGCATTATGCGAAATCTTGTATTTTAATAATGCTTTTTATTAGAGGGGAGATAATCATGTCTTATTATAATGTTCATTGGGTTATACTAGTTTCCTCCCTTTTTGAAATCTCTGGAAAAGGTAAAGCCGTTCTCGTAATTGCTAGAGTATTTTAATCATAATGTTTAATTTAAACGATCAAAATATTGTATGTTTGTGTAATTATGTTTTACGAATATACTATTCATATTGACATGCTATTGAAATAGTTTATTTTGCATGTGAAAATGCTGAAAATTTAATCTTTAATTTTCATCCTCAGAGCACATGTTCCAAAATGGAAAAAAATGGCTGCCAAAAAAAAAAAAAAAAAAAAAAAAAAAAAAAAAAAGATCGTAATACAACACCAATATGCTTTAGCCGATAGAAGGGTAATGCACAGGAAAATTAAATTTATCATGGAATGATTAATTATGCAATTCGCACACTGAATATGGGATAGGCCTAAATGAAATGCACTGAAAGACGATATGTCTTGATACCGGATATGAGTCATATCCGCGCGGATATGATTTTAAATACCGGATATGGCTTATATTTAATAGCGAATGTTAGTATAAATTATAAATTGCATGTTTTTATTATTATTTATTTAATTTTTGTTGCATATATTTGTATGATACTTCCGATTTCCGGAGTTATAAATATATGCACTAATGTTTGACTTGCCAATACGCCATATGGGCGCGCAGTCAAAAACAATTTTTTTTTGCCAAATGGGCCTTTATATTATGCCACATGGGCTTTTGTATGCATATATTTGTATGATACTTCCGACTTCCGGAGTTATAAATATATGCACTAATGTTTGACTAGCCAATACGCCATATGGGCGCGCAGTCAAAGTTTTTTTTGTGCCAAATGGGCCTTATTTTATGCCACATGGGCTTTTGTATGCATATATTTGTATAATACTTCCGACTTCCGGAGTTATAAATATATGCACTAATGTTTGACTTGCCAATGCGCCATATGGGCGCGCAGTCAAAAAATGTTTGTGCCAAATGGGCCTGTACAGTATGCCAAATGGGTTTTGTATGCATATATTTGCATGATATTTTTGATTTCCGGAATTATAAATATATATTCTTATGTTTGACTTACCTTTCGCCATATTGGCATGCAAAATAATAATAATAATAATTTGTGCCAAATGGGCCTTTTTATCATGCCAAATGGGTTTTTTGTTCACATATATTTGTATGATAGGTCTGACTTAAGGAGTTATAATTTATTCTTTAATTTTTGACTTGCCAATACGCCACATGTGCGAGCAGTCACAATTTGTTATAAATCCCAAATGGGGTTTTTATCATTTTATTTATATATATAGATCTAAATATATTATTTGTATGAATCTATAAATTTGGAGTAAACAGTATAATTCTATTTCAAGATATATTTAAAATCACAAAACAAAAATGTTTTATACCAAATGGGCATCAATTATAATAATCAAATAAATTCTGTAATGATTAATATAGTTACTTTTAAAGTAAATTAATATGTATTTAATTTTGACTCCATTAATGAGGTCCATTAATAATATTGTATGCCAAATGGGCTTCTATTCAGATTTATAATGTGTTATGCGTT